CCTGATCCCCATCTTCCCACCTCACATTGCTTGCGCAAACAGCAGAACAAGATCCAGTCACAAACATCTGAGACAAGCATGCACAGCAATACAACATGTTGCTTGCATCTCATTCTCTACACAGCTTTCCAAGAGGGCAACCATGCTGTACACTGAATACCAGTGCACAGCAACTTCTAAAAACAAAAACACAAAACAGCTTGAAAGCATTGATATTCTTCACGCAGGACAATGTGCAACAGGGACGCTGATTCCATTGTTAGATTGTCCTGTATGTCAATAGCCTGGATACTGGTATCATAGAATTATTGCACTAAGCAAATGAACAAGGTATGTGCTGTTATTTTTAGACAATCCTTGTAATTTAGTCTACAATGTAGTTCACAACAGTATTTCATTCTTCTGCACTTAAAAATACATTTTGTTGCATAAATACATATTTGAAATTAAACAGGCAGTTTGCAACATATCAGATATCAGACTTCAGTTCCAACTACCTGGACGAATACATGTACATTGTGCAAACCCACAGTATCATAAATACATGCATGAGTGACTAATACAACAGAGCTTAAGCTGTCCAAGTGCTCACAGCTCTGCCCACCTAAATGTGCAATCACATGAACAGATCCAAGTGCATGTATTGTGCACAGCTGCATCCAGATCAGTCCAGTGACATCCATGTATAATCCCCATGTCTGACTCTTGGTTTGGTGTCATGAGAAGGCCACGTGGGAAAGCCTGCGCTAACACTGGTGCAGACTCCTTCCCATTGTGTGAAGGCCTGTGCTTTGGCACTCTGTCTCTTTCTTAAGTTCAAGGCCAAATTTTGCGCTTGGTAGCATAGAGCAAATCTCCCAAAAGCTGGTAGACAGTACTGAAGGCAACTAGTACATCAGCAAATGATTCAGAAACATCTCGATCTGCATTACCCTTTCGACGGGTTTCCAAGGCTGCAGTAGCTGAGCCAGGCTAATGACGTTGTGACACTAGCAGGGGAACACCATCCTCTGACTCCCCCCACTGACTCTGCACCTCAGTTTGTGAGCAGATTCAACTCAGTAATCTGGCACAAAATGATCTGACTTCCCCTTTTTTCTGCTGCATTTTCTGCTGGACTGGTGAGTTGAAATCACTCACTGAAGAGATCTGACACCAGATCAAAGAGAGGTGAGTGGCAGGAAAAAAGGAAGGGAAAAAGAATGGAGAAAATAAGCCCAATTTTGGAGCCAGGTACCTCCATCTTATGGAAATCACAGCCTTACTGTGGGGCAAAAGCTCAGCTTTTACATCAGAGTACAATGTACTCAGGAGCACAGACAGCCGTCCACCGTGCTTCGCTGTAAGCTCCTCACCCAGCCACCAGCTTACAGGCCATGCTGGGTGGGAGCAGTATAGTGGGTTGCCAGCTGCCCTTTTGATTTCATGGTAAAAGGTACTTGGTAACAAAAGCCATGGTGGGAGACCCCAATCCTTTCCTTCGGCAGAGAGGAAGGCTTATAAGCGTCGGCAGCATGAGGCCCTGGCCACACTGCCATGCCTCTGCAGCAGGGAAGCTGCACACCACTGCAGCGAGCTTGCAACTTCCTGGTGGAGCAGGTTTGACACTCTCAGTCAGAGTACTGGGAGACAATTACAAGCAACTGAGTTGTCACCTGTCAGCTGAGCCACAGCTCTTTCAGTGGTGCCCAGTGACAGGACAAGGGGTAACAGGCACAAACTGGGGCACAGGAAGTTCCGCCTCAACATGAGGAAAAACTTCTTTACATTAAGGGTGGAAAAGCCCTGGAACAGGCTGCCCAGAGAGGTTGTGGATTCTCCTTCTCTGGAGATATTCAAAACCCGCCTGGACGCAGTCCTGTGCAATCTGCTCTAGGTGGTCCTGCTTTAGCAGGGGGGGTTGGACTAGATGATCTCCAGAGGTCCCTTCCAACCCCTACCATTCTAAGATTCTGTGATCTACTCTCCCACCAGCATAAGACAAAACTGTGAGTGGTTTAAATCAGAAGTCTCCCTCCCAGTGGGTTAACAACCCCCCCAGAACCTTAACACAAATGGTAATTCATTAAGCTGCAGTCACTCAATTCCTTGCTACTGTCCACAAATGAAGACTGGGTAACATGTTGTGCTAAATGCCCTTCAAAGCCAACAAATTTATTTTTGGAGTATGATACTGCTTGGGTATCATATTCCGGCCATATGTGTTTAACTACTCAAACAAGTAGTCTATTTGGGACTGCCCTGTCAGAATTTGCCAGGCAATCTGCCATCAGTACCAACTGGAAGCTGGTGTTATTAGAGATGTTGCGAAGCAGAACAAAACCACCCCTATAATATTGTGGCTACCACAATAAGCACACACACTCCACAGCTTATCCCCCAATCAGACAAGCAAAAGTTGCTGATGTGCCCTGCTAAGCCAAGATCAGAGACATTGTGTGCTGGACATTAGCACAAACCATCCTAATGCCATGGTAAACAACCACTCAGACAGTGTGTGAAGTCATGGGAAATGCCTGTTATCATGTCCCACCTCAAAACCCCAGAGTGCCTGTCTTCCTTCTTCTGGGTCACTCTGAGCATTTTTGGCTCCTGCCAATGGAGCCGAGGTCTGTGTTGGGGCTGAATTACAGCACTCGTGTAACGCAGCACTTCAAAGACCTGCTTACAGCATGGCACATCTGCAGCCAGTGATCTGCCTCCTTGTAGACGAGAATCGTGGAATTACCACACTAAATTGCCCCCACAAAATAGCCCACTCTGAAGCAACACACCCAAGGCATAGCCACAGAAGATGTGAACCATTGCCAGACTCTGAGCCTGATAACAGTGTGAGAAGCAATTTGGTTATAAGGTCTGGTTTCCTGCCTTGTGAGGCTTGAGGAGAGACACGAGACAGCCACAGCTTGGGGTGGCTTCTTTCCCCTACAAGCTCAAGGCAGCTCTTCCCAGCAGAGAGGGGTGGTTGGGCAGGGGAGGAGAGGTGGGAAGCAGAGATCTGCCGCCCCACAAAAGCCAGCTGATACCCAGCCTCATGTTACAGCACAGGAAAGGCAAGTGGGGAAGTAGGTCAGATCCTGCAATAGCTGTCACTGGGAAGTGCTGAGAGGAGGGCCAACGGGGGAGAGAGATAAAAGGCTTTCCTAGAGGTTGGCTCCATGGTTGAGCTCTCACCTGGCACCCCTAGGGAGCTCCTTGGCGTGGGATCCCCCACATTCCAACACATACTAGGAGCAGCTGTACAAGTCCTCAGTGGGAAGCAGCAAAGAAACCCCACAGAGAGCAGCACCAGCCTTGCAAAACGGTATCACATTAAAAGCACTGCCATGAAAAAGCAAAGCTGTGCAAACAGCAATGAGATGGCTGGCGTCTGGAAGCTGGGCAGCCATCTTGCTGGCTGCACCTGAAGTCTTTTTGGGCTTCTTTCTCCTTCACCTACAAGTCAGATTTGTGGTGGCACTGAAAGTCATGGACACAGCTTGCACTCACTTCAGTAGTGTCATGATTTGGTCTCAGGCCCCAAAACCAAGTCACAAAAACACAGCTTTGCAGTATAAATGACCACCTGTGCCCACCAATCCACTGCCTACCCTACAGTCCCGAGAGACAGCGGCCTGTAACTCAGAGGCCGTAAATTCCATGGTTATGCTGACACAGCATGCAGGACCCCGGGACAGCTGGCACAGAGGAAACCCATGCTTTCTACTACCCTTGTTATGTGTGGAGCAGAAAGAGATCAGAGCCAGACTGTCACCTGCAGGAAGATTTGTGGGAGGACAGATGTTTATTACAGTGGAAATCTCTGCTCTTAGACCTTCCACCGGCACATCTGCTACCTACCCCATCCCCAAAACAGACCTTCAATAAGGCTTAAGCGAGGTGAAGGCATTCTGCCGCCTCCTCACACAGAGGAACATTTCATCCTAGCAACACAGAAAATAGGTTTTAAAGGGTGCCAGATGGGTTATTTTTCTGTCTGCTACCTTTGTTTCACCCTTTCTTTGGAATTAGTGATGATTAAAGTCACTGCAGAGTTGCAGATCTAAACAATATGAAGGTATGCAGGAATAAGAAAGAATAAAGACAAAGAAGTGTAAAAACACAACAATAAAAGACCCCCAAACAACAAAAGCCCCTCAGTAACAGTTTGGTCCAATAACCATGGGAAGTTAGCTAAGGCTGACTCTTTCATTTAATTCAGTGGGCATTAGAGCACCACAGCAGACTTGTCTAAAGCCTCATCATGGCCCTAGAATATCCTAGTGGAACACAAAATAAGCTGAATTACTTGAGAAGTACCGTGCATCATTTTAAAGGTCAAGAATTATAATCGTTCACTGAAATACTGAATTTGTTAGTGTTTTCCCTGTACTTAGAGAATAAGAACAATTATGTTGTAAAGTCAACTGTTGGAATAGTAGCACTTGTTATTTCAGTGCTTTAAGGACCAAATTCTGCCTTCAGATTCACACGCACATTTTCCATTGTCTGCATAGAAATAGATTATCTGTAGCTGACACTCACTTATTATTACACTCACTATGCTATATTTTGTGGATTTCAAATGATGGCTTAAGACATATTTGATGGTTTGTTTTTTTTTTTCTGTACAGTTTAGGATAAGATTGTGGATTTTTCTGCACTGTTGCATTCCCCAGAATACTGAAAGAGTGGCTTTAAGTCAGTAGATTTTACATTAAGTATACACAGTGACAAAATACTAACAACCCATGCTTAAACAGTTAAAATTATGTGTATGACAGTGGTTTTGCCATTATATGTTTCCATATTGTTGAAAACAATACTTTTTAGTCTAAACACCAGCAACGTTTTGATCACAGAAAATCATCAACAAAAACAATGGTTAAATCCAGCCTTTAGCTGACTTCAGGATTTTTTTTTCCCATCTAGCATAAATAAGCCTCAGGAAACAAAACAAAAAAAACAGACAAAAAATGCTGTAAATGGTTTCATGAACTTACATTGATGTAGCTCTTATTTCTTGGTCTTGCTGATCAAGAATAAGCCAGCAGGTAAGAAGCAGCAGCCAGTGATAAGTTTGTCGCCTCCACTCTGGGAGGTCATGTTAAAATAAGAAACTGAAAAAATGCTTTAAAATCGAATTGCTACGTAAGCCTCCCTGGGGATTTACACTCACTGATGTGTATGCTAAAAATGGTATTTCCAGTCTATCTTGTGTTGCCTGAGAACCAATTTTGTCCTTTTAAAATCTGCATTTATATTATAACCCATAAGTACCTTTCATTTTTGTATCAACACTATAAATACTATGTTAGTAATACTAAACTATTTCTATTGACTTATTTGTAAAAAGAAAAATATATTATATATTTATATATTTTTATAAAGTGAATTAACACTGGAGAGAGGTCTATGGGGAATAGAGTATAATCACAGTTGATGTGTATTATTGGGCATAAATTCAACGCATAAAACAAAAATGGAGAAGAAAGACGTATTCAGGTGATATCTCTCTTTCAAGCTGTGTCAGAGGAAGAGTCATAGGATGCTGACACTATGAAGTTGCCAGTATTGGAGTGGCTTGCCATGGACTGAGCAGCCTGCTGGCTCAAGTTATTGCAGATCAGCACCAGCTGGTTGCTCTGTGCTTCTGAGAGGGTGCTACAGCTCTGGTAGACGCTGAAGTTGGTCTTCCGGCCAGGGATGTTGCCTTTCTCGCACATCGTCTTTACCATCTTGGCAAGCTTGTTTTTCCCCAGGGCTTGGCAATTGTACCAGTGGAGCGCGGCCAAGTTGACAACCGGTTTGATCGACAGGTAAAAAGGAGCGTCCTCGTAGCGCATGGCTGGAGGCCGCCTCTGGGCATACTCCTTGTAGTCCTGCACAGGGCAGGTCTGTGGGGAGTGCTGGGTGGCGTATACCCGGGAGTCCGTCCCACCTCTCTTGCTCTTGGCGTTGACGTCTCCGTTGTCTGGCCCCATCCACTCCAGGTACTCCAACCCAGTTTCTGTCACCCGCAGCCGGATGTCTCCCCACTTGAGGGTGGACCCATGGAAACCTGTGCAGTGTCCAAACGCCTTAGTGTTGTTTTTCAGCAGCCCCTCGGGATTGTACCGGCTCAACAAGCCTCTTTTACGCAGGATAAGCTCATCAGCAAAGGTGAGCTTCATGGATTTGTGTGGCTTGTTTCCTTTTCCTTTACACCTCAGCTCTATCTGCTTTTGCTTTAGAGCTTCCTGGGACCTCTTGAACTCCTTATCCCTTGTAATACTGTATCCATACCTGTGCTCTTTGAGATACCGCTCCAGCCCACACTGATAGTTGGCCAGACTGTTTGGCTCGTATTCAGACCCATCCTTTTGTCTGGCGTCCACAAAGAAGGAAGCAAGGTAGGCATCAAGCTCTTTGCAGGGGATGACGTAGATCTCCCGGGTCTCAGAGGGGTACTTGGAGATGAGGAACTCTCGGAAATTGCGGAGAGCCGTCTGTGTGCTGCGAATGGTCTTTTCGTTCTGCTCCCTGCTGAGCTCCGCTGCTCTCTCATCCTGGTCTGGAAGAGGGAGAAGGGGAAAGACAAAAGAAAGTAGAAGCAGTGAGTTCGTGCGATGTTGTTTTTTCCCAAAACAAATTTCCTTAAAAAGGAAAAGGAAAAAAATTAAAATAAATTTTGCAAAGACCACTAGAAAACATCATTACATACCTGTCACATGACTGAAAAGCCAACTTCAGTTTCACAAATTATGTACTAGAGTATGGCACAAAACCAAAAAGAGCTCCTCACGACACTGGGGCACGGTTTTGTGCATGAAGATTTGTGGAAAACAGTGGGATTAAAGGCAATCTGCTTTTCACAACAAATGCAAGGTAGAAGGTTTTTCTGTGGATCCCAATGCTGTGTGCATGGCCCAATCCAAGCAATAAACCCATTCTGAATTGCTTCATTTGTGAAACCGGAGGTTGTACTGGTTCCAATTTTTTTCTACAAAAAATAACTAAAGCATCATGTTTACGACAGTAAAAATTATCTTTAATCAGAAACATTTTTAAAGAGCTAAATATATATACACAGAAGCATACAGTATAAAATAATGCAGCACATCCTAACGAAGCAGTCGGCAGGTAAAACTACAGAGCAATGTGTAATTTACAAATGTACAAGAATAAAAAAAAAGTACGTTCACATCAGAAGATATGGAAGAAAAACATGATTACACAGTCTCTCTGCACAATCAAGCTGTACCTTGACAGCAGAAGTACAATTGTGAGCATTTCTTTTAATTTTGCAGAAAAATCAGATTCTGGAAACAACTTTGTATTGCTCCATACGGGTATACTCAAAGGTCCTTTACAATCAGTGACATATCAAACAACAATATTCAGATGCTACCGCTATGATGGTTGTTACTCATCACTGATTTTTGGGCTGACCATAAGATAAGCATAAAAAGGAAAAGCTTTTTACATGTAAGTGATGTGTGTACTTAAGGACTGTTTGCTTGGCATATGCAAACTATCCATCTGTACAAGGATGAGCTTACAAGCACATAGGTGGAACTGTCATTATGCATGCGACCTTAATGGTTTTAGAAAATGAACAGCAAATGCAAAGAAGGAAAAATTCAATTATTTGACTATGCTCTGTAATTGTGAATGGAACATTCTTTTTTTTTCTCTTCCACTTAATAAGCAGAAGAGGGAAAAAAGCAAGTTCTTTTTTGTTCAGTTTCATCACAAAACCCATACATTTTGGTGTCCTTTCAGCAGTGCCATAGTAACACTCGCCAGGTTTCTTCCCACCCAGCATACACACCACGAAGTGGTATGAGGCTGGGTGAAATTGCCTCTCTGCCATTCAGGCCAAGCTCACGTCAGGCCACGTAGCACACTCATGCTTGGCAGCAGTGCTCAGTCACTTACTCCTCGTGCCCACTCTGCCCTGCAAACCTGTTAACAGGGGAGGCAGCAGGGAAGGGAAGGAGGGCCTATCTCCTTCCCTAGCCCACCTGCAATGTTTCATGCAGTGCAGAAACATCGGTGCACAGCTATGCAGCTTCCTCTTCCACCCATAGACTGAGTGACTCTGAAAAGGGTGCATCCCATCACCTCCATACCACAGCTGCAGACAGAGGCATGGGGAGTGACTTTCCCCAAGACTTGCCAGCAGGCCAGAAACAGGGCTGAGTTTATATCCCCCAGGACCAGGTCCCATGTCTTCACTGCGAGGCACCCGCTGCATCCACAGCACTCAGTGAAACCTACTGAGAAGGGTCCTCACACCCTCTGCAAAGCACAGAGAAGCAGGGGTCTGCAGCTGAGGCCTTTGGAGGCTTCTACAGCCATGAAAAATGTTGCCACAGAGCACTGAGGTTTCCTCAAACTGTACTCAAGAAAAGGTCACCAGCCTGTTTCAGAAACGGGTCTTAATATTGATGTCAGTGTCAAAAAGCTCCTAGCAGCCTGCAGTGAAGTCTCATGCTTTAGGCAACACATAGGATAGATCCTTTTATTACAGCTAGATGCAGGCTGGAAATAAAAAGACAATGCTGTTTGAAGCTCCAAAACAAACAGTTACTCTGGTACCTTGTTCACTGCACCCACCACCACTTATGATAGCACTGGGTAAGTAATCAGTGCTTTGACTGACAGCCCACATTTTAAGTACTGTTTCAGTATAAACAGCACACATAATGGCTCAGTTTTATGTATGTCATCAATCACTACTTCTTAGAGGACAGCCTGTCACAACACAGCAGTGACACCCAGTCAGTCATTTATGTTATGGCATCTTTCCTTAATCTGCAGAGGAAATTGCTTTATCTGCAGCTAACAGTTATAAAACCCATGCTGAATTAAAGATCCCCTGAAGTTGCATGAGTGAAACAGTACCCTAGAAACACTGCATTCCAGCAGTGCTGTGGTGTGTTACTCCACAAGGCAGGTGGGAAATCCTAAAGGTAATGGGTCAGCTTCTCATCCAGCCACATCAGGAGAGCTACGTCAATTTTGACTGTGAATCCAGCCTGCAGTGGTAGTGGATTATTCTCTTCCTATGAGACTGCTCAAACATCAGGGATATCTCATAGCATGGGATGAATGCAGGGCGGCAGTGAGACACAATGGACAGAGCCTGAGACAGCCTAAGTCACTGGATGTCAGTTAAGCCACTGTCATCTGCATATGCTCTTCATCCACAGCAAAAGCAGATGATGTGGCTGAAACTAACAGGTAAGACAGTTCTTCATAGCCCAGGATAGCTGAGGAAGGAGACATAATTCTTCGCGTCATTAAAGTCTTACTTCTTCATTTCACCAAGGATATTTCATAGTGCTGAAAGAAACCTTATAATCCATTTCCAGCTACCATGGAGAAATAAATTGTATCCAGGCATGCTTTTAGCATCGCCAAACTTTGTTTTTTCTGCTAATTTCACAACCTTATTCTCTGTTATTGTGGTGGCTGACACTGGTCAGCACTGATGCACCTAAGCCACTTGCTCACTCCCCACCCCAAAGGGATGGGAAAGAGAATAGGAAGAACAAAAGCGAGCAAACCTGTGAGTCAAAACCTGTGAGAGAAAAAAGAAACCCAACCAACAAGTGATGCAAAGGCAATCACTAACCACCTCCCACAAGCAGGCCAATGCCCAGACGGTCTCTGAGCAATGCCCACCCAAAAGCCCTCCCTTCAGTTTTTATTGCTGAGCATGACATCATAGGGCAGGGAATACCCCCTTGGTTAGTCTGGGTCAGCTGTCCCTGTTGCGTCCCCTCCCAGTCTCTTGCCTACCCTAGACCTAGCTGCTGGGGGGACATAGTGGGACAAAGAGAAAGCCTTGACACTGTGCAAGTCTGGCTGATCAACAGCCAAAACACCTGTGTGTCATTAACACTGTTTTAGTCACAGATCTGAAACACAGCAGGGTGGCTATGAAGAAAGTCAACTCCATCTCAGCCAGACCCGGTACAATTATGCCATTTGGATCACTAACGAAACAGTGCCCAAGACCAGGCACACCTTGCATCTCTTCTGTACAAACTCTGACAGGACAAGAAGACCACAAAAATTATCCTCTGGGTCCAGTGTGCAAAAGGCCTTGTGAAACATTTACAACAAACCCATCTACTCTACACATCTCTACTTTGCCTAAGGGAAATAAGCAGAAACAGAATCCAAGACCTTACCACAGTCTGGATATTTGGCACGGATTGCTTCTGCTCTAGCCACATGGCCTTGCAACCTTGTCAGAGAAGATTAGGCTGGTGTAATGTCATTTTGTTCCACGCAAATCCACCCAGACTGACAGATAAAGAAAGGCTACATAAAAGTAATTCAGTCATTAAGAACTCGAGACTAAAAGGCTTCTCGAGTGCCATCACAGTGGATTTTTGAAAATTTTTATCTTCTGACAAGCTGCAAGAACTGTTGAGGTACAAGACTTCATCTTTGGGTCTGGGCATTGAAAGTGAATGTTTTTTTCCTGAGACAGGAGTGTTTCCAATGTAACAGTTCACAGATGTTTGCTTGGTCTTGCTTTGCTGCATCTTGCTGAGATGAGACCAAAAGCTCTTTTGCCCAGGGCTTACTTTTTTTTTTAAAAAAAAATAAAATTCTGTGGTCCTGCTGGAAATTACTGAAAACACAGGTGGGAATCTACATTAGTTCCTTGAATACTGCAAACTGTTTGCTCCTGGGCCTCCACTGCTCACAACATTATCAACTCTTCAGTGTGCATGGGTTCCAAAACTGGGTAAAAGCACAGAAAAGAAATCACAAAGCACTCCTCAATACAAGAGAACACCTTTCCATCAGGAAGGCCCTGAGCTGCAAACTGCTGGAGGACAGCAGAGTAGGGAGGTGTCATATTGCACCTTTCTTATAGTCTTCTGCAGGTGTCTGTTAGGCTCTAGGAAGTCAGATTCTCTCATGTTATGGTCTAAATTGTCTTGGCTAGTAAAACAGTCTGAACCAACCAACCAAAAATTACTCTCATCATTGACCCACCAAGCCAAGCTATCCTTTTCCTTATCATAATGCAACCTTTGGAGCTGGTAGTGCTGTTACCTCTGTTTTACAAACTAGGAGCAGAAACATAAAAAATAAATTGACTTGGAGATGCATTTCCTGAAGTCCTGCCCCTTCAGTTGCATCACTGCACAAAGGACCCAGTTGGAGCTCGTGTTTCCTATCTGATCGCTCATCAGAGCTTCATTTCCAAGAAAACCAGAATGTGGCAGAAAAAGCCAGTAAAACTGGGACCCAGGGTAAACTCCCAGCTAAGAGTCTGAAAAGTACCAAGTAGTTTAGATGTCCCAGTTTAAACGTAGCCAAAGAGATAAAGTGGCCTGACAGAGATTAAACAGACAGCTAGTGGGAGCTGAGTGTCTGAGGCTAGCCCCCAACCATGAGGCAATCCCTCCCATACAGCAACAGCTGTCTTCTGATCTTTTCATAATCTGATTTTAATGCAGCCAAGACTTAACATTATCAGTGAAGTTATCAAACTTGGCATTGTTTTTATTTCAGCTTGCACACATACACAGAGTCAGACTCCCTAAAA